CCCTCCACCCCCCAACCCCGAAAAGGGGGGGGGGAAAAAAAAAAAAAAAAAAAAAAAAAACAAAGAGAAGACGTGAGAATCATTTAATATCCCAACACAGGTTAAAAGCTTGTTAGATCAAGGTTGAGCAGAAAGAGAAGAAAAAAGCAAGAATACCTCAATAAATAAGGATTTTAAAATATATTAAACAGTTTCCATGAGCATCTAGCTCAGTAGGTTCAAGATACGGAGCTCGTATGAACAGGTGAAGAAGATCAGTCAACAACAAAAGGGTAATTATATTTCAAGCTAGAGAAGCTGACCTTGAAATCCACATCATATGTGAAAATAATTTCTTTTCCCTCTGCAACCTCTTGGGGAGTGTTAGAACTAACAACCGTTTGTTTTGCATGGGGGTCGCAGGTACTTAAACGAGTGTTCTGTCCGTTCCATTTTCCGTCGTACTCATGTTTAACACTGTACACAACTAATATTGTTAACGTAACAGACCACCATTTCCTCTTCTAAAGCGAAATAAGGGCACAGAAGAACCCACCTGAATGGTTTAACCTCAAAACCCACAATTCTTGCCGAGTCGGTTTGCGTATCTTTGTGATATTTGACAGTAAATGACAAATGATTGTAGACATAATACTTTTCGTCCTTACCCTAGTCACAATCAAGTAACGTCAGTAAAACGCAAACTTTCGCATTCACAACACAACGAAGCTCTTTGATGCGAACAACTATTGCTTATACCGTAGATTGTCCTTTCAGTCCAACATAATGGCCAAGCTGATAAATTGGAGATTCCTGATCCAGCCTTCGTGCGGGAACCACTAGAGGCAGGTTATCAAGGATCCTGACATACATGCGAGGAAATTTAGATGCAACTTAAAAACTACCGCGAAGATATATGTTTGGTATATGGGTTTTCAGAATTTAAATTCATAATTCTGCTACAATGTTTTTATCTCACAAAAATTTAAACTTCAAAAGTCAAAAAAAATTTGAACTTTAAAAGTCATAATGACTAGTTTAAACCCATATACTAAATGAGTTTATGTGGTCAAGAATAATACATGTTGACCCGATATTCATCATTTATCTTCTCCTTAAACTCCTTTGCGGTTTTGGCATCAAGTGTTACATGACAGGCGATATTGCACATCCGTGGTTCACGCATTTTAAACTGCAGATGTTCCACATATATCAACAAGAATAAAATAATCGCGCAGGATTCTAGTTATTTAACTATATCAAATTCAAAACTTACCACATATGGAGAGTTCTCAATACGGTCACCGCGAAGCACTTCCCCAAGATTCTCAGCACTATCTACTATTTTCTTCGGGCGACAAAACGGAAGAGAGTAGTACGAGTACGGAAGCTGAGTCTTTGTAGAAGTCAATTTGTTAACTTTCACTTTCAAGTCATCTCCCTGCATCCAGAGACTCCCAAAGATAATCCCAACTATTAAATTAATTCAATAGACATGGTAAAATATACCAACATAAAACTTCTAGTATAAATCAAGTCAAGCGCAAGGAAATAACAGCCTCACAGCAATGACAAATCCAAATTAATCATCTTCTTCGTACTGAAAAACATAAATGACACAGAAGTTTGCAAAATTTCATTGCTTTAGCTGGAAATGAACTGATTCTAGTGATTTTGCTTCTTTAGAGTGACAATGTTCAACATAATAAACTAATATAACAAAATAAAGCGAATGCAATAACTAATAATTCATCTTGTGTAAGCGTCAAATTCTTGGACCATTAGTCAATCGAGGCCTAACTCCCAATGCAATCCTTTATGCAATAGCTATTGCTTTCCCAATTTCCATAACTGATGGAGTCTAAGGAAACCAAAATGACTCAAGTCAGTTTAGTTTGCTTATTTGAATTTTTAATTCGAGTTGAGATGTAACTTTATGTGAGATAGTTTTTTACTATAACAAAAAAAGTTAGATGCAACTTGAACCGGTGAAATGAACGGGGTTAAAGATTTTCAAATTTTCAGGCAAATTTAATCTACTTTCAATTCAAGTGCTCCGCTTTTTCTTGATAAACTTTTCCCGGTGATTAAACAGAGAAATCAGCAAATTACATTCAGAATGGTTATAACTAAACTAAATTTTGTTAATTTGACGATCCACCGGAGTAAAATCGCAAATTTAAAGTCCAGCCAAATCAAATCAGTCTTCATACGATAAGACAGAGCAAAAGAAGATAAATCAAAACTATCAATCCAGGGATTTTCAAACAAGTAGAGTTAAGCTGAATCCAATACGCCGTCAACCTAATTGCTTGAAATATTCTCAATCTCGCAAATTGCCTATCCATTTCCCTCTATTTTCTCACCAGCCAAACAAAAGAAACTTACACCGAATCAAATCAAACACAGATCCCAAAACCTAAATATACAGATCGGGCAGATCATAAACAATTGCACATGATATGTTGTGATCGAGGGAGCTGACCTGTTTGAAGTCCTCGGGAGCGACACCGGGGAGATAGAAGGAATAGGCGCCATGGATGAGAACCAGAAAGATTGCGAAGATCGACAGCGCAGAGACTGCCATAGATCTTGGAGACTCCATGGCGTCCGACTATGTGTCGGTGTGAGAGAAACCGAGAGAGAGAGAGATGGAGAGGGAGAGAGAGGGATAGCTTCTTTTAGATCTGATTTCTGAAGGTGGGGAGGTTTGTTTGTCCTCGTGGTGGTTTTATTTTTGTCTTTTTGTTTTCTCCTTTTTTTCTCGTGACTTAATTAATGACTATTAAAAATTAATACGACCTTTGATTTATAGGTTTAGAAGTATAATTTATGAATTTAATTTTTAAAATTAAATTTTTTTATAAAAAATATATATATTATAAAGAATTAACGATTGTAAATTAAAATTAGAGACGAATTCTTACAATAAATACTAAAAAGATTTTTTCATAAAAATGAAAAATAAAAATGATCAAAGAGGGAGAAGAGAGAGAGAGAAACTGCAGGTATTGTCTGGGGCTGCGTGGACTTTGTGTGTTTTGTCTTTCTCTCTCTCCAGTTGCTGCGTGATTGGGTACGGTGATCTCCAGTACTTGTTGTGGTTGTGCCACGTGGGCTTCCAGTCCGACTATAACAAGTGTTGGTTGTCGTATTTTTCTTTCTCGGTTGGCCCATTGCTCGGCAAATCCTCAGTTTCCAGGCCTTCTCAGGGGAGAAGCCCATTGTCAAAATCAACACAAGAGGAAAGAAATAGCGGCCCAATCCAAATACAAGTTGAGTATGCTAATCGACCTAGTAACAAATATGATTTTCATATCACTTTTTTTTTTTTAGTGCAATTTTCATATCACATTTGATGGAATTAATTTGAATTTCTCGCTTTAGAAATATTTATTATCAGTCCTACAAAATAAAAGGTAATTAGAAACTATCACGGTACTCGTCTAAGTAAGCACTCTTAACAATGTAATCAACGTTGTCAATTGTGTAGTATTTGGAAGTCGATAATTATATAAAAAAATACGACATGTACAAACTCCTTCCTCTCTCATCTACATAAGTATGATTATTGGCATTTTCCTTACGATCCCAAAATATAAATTTTGACACATAAGAACCTCAAAGCATTATGGATGTGTTGAATAGTTCCCTCCTCCTTTCTACTTATGATCCCATTAAATTTCAAAGCAGCCCATACCCATGCGATCCCATTTTTTCGGAACTTAAACAAAATCTATCCGAAATGAATAGAAATGATAGCTCCGTGCAAATCAAACAGGGACAAAAGGAAGGAAGGAAAAAAAAAAAAGAAATTTGGGGAAAAATCTTTTATTTATCATTGTCGAATTTAGTCAAATGATTCAGATCTATGCATTATAAAGAGTACATCTATTCAATCGAATTGAATGAGGTTCCGATTCATCACGTGAGATCCATCTTTTGTAAGGGAACCAATTCAATTCCACATTGATTAGGTTTATATATATATATATATATATATATATATAGAAAAATGATTGGGAGATCACGATTACTAATTTGCGATGCGAACACCACCAATACCCCTTGTATTTACTCTTTTTCTTACAAAAAGATACATGTACGTTACATGAATCGAATGTGATGGGCTCAACCGGGACTGCGTCTGGTTGCTTTCTCAACGTGTGCTGCACAAACTGACACTAGGATGCGCTCGTGCTCTAATTTACAGTTTTAGAATTTACCACTTGTCTTTCTGTGGGTGAATCAAAATATACTTTTATTCGCTCATCTTTTCTTCCCTACAGTACCATCTCTACTCAATCTCAGTTAGACTAGTGAGTCCCACAAAGTGAATTTTAATGACTGATAAAAAAAATCACGTTCTTCAGACTCATTTAATTCGTTGATTTAAATTTTTAATTTAATTGAAATGTGATTTTATGTGAAAACTTTTCACTATAACAAAATAATTAAATATGACTGTTTTTTAAAACTTTTTACTGTAATAAAATTTAAATTCTAAACTCGAATTAGGTCCTTCATGTTTTTCACGTAAATCATCTTCAGCGTTTAGCTTTAGCCTCCAACATTGGACGCGACCTTCTGGTCAAAAGATGTGTATTTTTGGGCTCGTAAGAAGTCCATATAAACTCCTCCTGTGTTGATAAACGCGGACCTATGATTTAATCTCAAATAAACGTTGCTCGGTAATGTTTAAGTTTTATGTCTCGGTGAATTTTGACTTTTTCATTTCTGTAAACAAATGTACAGAAGATATGAACAATATCAGCCGGCTAGCTAAGGTCAATTTCATATTAGTTTTTAGTAATCATCAAAACACCCAATGATATTTGGCTCTTTGCTCATCAATCAATATTCTGCCATTACCTCGGTCCAACTCTTATATAAATATACATATATATATGCGCACATAGATATAACATGTATATTGTTGTACACCAAGAGTCCCACATCGGTTGGAGACATGGTCTGGAGAGGTATATGTACCAGAGTGCCAACCTCTCCTACTAGCGAGACGTTCCTACGGGAGACAAAACTCCCCCATTGGGCATGGAGTCACCATCCCACTTGGGCCTAAGTGGAGACAATACCTCGACGGGGGGTGGGGTCAGGAGAGTGCCCCACGGGGAGAGTGCCGGCCCCTCACCCCAGCGAGACGCCTTTTACGAAGGGACAAAACCCCACCCGTCACGGCGGGCCCAAGTGGGGACAATACTTCGCCGGTGGGCCATCGGTGTGTGAGAAATTCTGGCGTCAACAGTTGGCGACTCCGCTGGGGACGTTTGGCCACGGCCTGCCTCCCCAGTCCCCCCGTCTCGGGGGGCACTGTTGTACACCAAGAGTCCCACATCGGTTGGAGACGGGGTCTGGAGAAGTATATGTACCAGAGTGCCAACCCCTCCTACCAGCGAGGCGTTCCTACGGGAGACAAAACTCCCCCATTGGGCATGGAGTCACCATCCCACTTGGGCCTAAGTGGAGACAATACCTCGACAGGGGGTGGGGTCAGGAGAGTGCCCCACGGGGAGAGTGCCGGCCCCTCACCCCAGCGAGACGCCTTTTATGAAGGGACAAAACCTCACCCGTCACGGCGGGCCCAAGTAGGAACAATACTTCGCCGGTGGGCCATCGGTGTGTGAGAAATTTTAGCGTCAACATATATATATATATATATATATATTTGCACGTTACTTTATCTTGCATGCAAACATCATCGTAGACGTAGTCATCAGTAAATAAATGCACGAGCCAAGGCAACCATACATTCCTGAGCTAGTACTATCAGGAGAAGCCCTCATCCACTTGTGTTGACTGTCGTGTCAATTCGGACAGTAAATGAACGGAAGCAGACACACAATAACATATTAACATCGCAAATTCTCTTCCTTCTATTCACAATACTAAATAGCGACTGATCTATATGTTGAACTTCATAATTTCCACATCTCCACATTAATATTGGTACAAGAATGTTAGATAAGGCATTTTTTCTTAAATTAAACATTTTTTTTCCTTTTTATGTATAGTATATATTTTGGAATATATATATATATATGTAATAGAAGTGGTGTTCATGGTGTTGAGAGGGAAATAGGGAGAGATTAATGGGGGGCAGAAGTTGATGGATGAGGCAAATACTAACTAGTTAGATGAACAATCATGTTGAGCTTTTGAGAGCATAAAACCTGGAGGGAATCTAATATATAGCTTGTGATCCAAATAGCACCAATCACCCAAAACGTGGAACTTATTCCAAAACACACACGAAGAGGTTGGGCATAAAGGGAGCCGAATGGTCCCCCACGTCGGCCAATTTGGCAAGAGATAGAAGAGAGAAGTAAAGAAAGAGGACAAATAGAAAAAGGAGGGGAGAGCAAAAAATAAAAAAAAAATAATAATATAAATAAATTTGCCCACGCCCTTACCATTATGAGTTTGGGGCCCATATATTGCCTCCATCATCATTTATTTATGATGGTTTTATGCCCACGCCTATATTCAACCATAATTGATAATTCCTCCTTTTAGAGTCACACATCCAAATCATTTAACTAAAGATGCGCCTTTTCCTTAACAGCCAAAAGAGTGTCGTTTTTTGGAGGAGTTGTTCCCGTAAAGTTCCATCCGCCTATAAATTTTATTCCGCTTATATTAGACCGACTGAGTTCTACATATGCTAGCAAATAAAACTTGTTTTTTAAGGTTTTTAGTTCCAATAATACGCTATAAGGAGATTCTGGTTATTTTAAATTAGATATGAAAAAAAGTACCGCGTTGATAGTGTCCCTGAACAATGAGTTTTTCATTGCATGGGTCCCCTATGATGCATGTGACATAACTATACACTATGAGTAGGGGATATACATACTTAAGTAAAAAGCTTCTTGTACGATAATTTTAGGATTTTAATAGTTTATATAATACTCAAGTCATGTAAATTGACTCGGCAAAAAAAAAAAAAAAAAAAAAAAAAAAAAAAAAGTCATGTAAATTGTCCATTGTTTTCCAAGTGGAAGCACTTATAAGTAATGGAATTAAAAAAAAAAAAAAAGTATTCGATCTCTAATATATACAGTACTCATGAAAATGCACAACAATAGCGTAAATTTATATGATTTTTGAAGCGACCCCAACACTTATAAGAATTAATTTTGGGAGCACAGGAGCAAACACCATACAGAAAACTTTTTAGGCAAAAAAAAAAAAACCCCCCCTTAACCTTAAGGGGACGTTTGCAATCTCCATTATCGCCTCCACCGTCGCCGCCGCCTTTGCCTCCATCATCACCTCCACCGCCGCCGCCTCTACCTCCATCATCGCCCTCCACCGTCGCCGTTGATTCCAATACCGCCACCTCCGCCTCCACCGTCGCCGTTTAGGGTTCAGGACTGGAGGTTCGTGAGGCATGGTGATTTTGTGAGAATCGTGAGAAATGGGTGAGAGAGATTTTGATTCCATGATATTACTTTCCTGGGAAAGTAAATAACACCTTACTGGGTGGGTTTAGGATTACCTCAAAATGTGGTAATGTGAATCCTATGAGCTTAACTTTATTGGGTTTTAAAAAAGTTCAATAATTGTACTAAACATATAAATCTTTCAGATTCTCATTCTCACCTTTAAGATTATCTCATACCAAACACCCCCTAAGGAGTTAGCTTAAGTGATACACAACCCTTTTAAAGTGCAAATTCCTTGATGTTACAAACTAGCGACGTTC